CATATGCTCGCATGCGTCGCTAATTACAAGCCAATATGCAAAAGAGATCAAAAGCTCTCTTTAATAAGTTTCCCATTCGCACCAAAAATTAATAACGCCTCCGACACATCAGCCCCTTCTGCGCGTTTCATTAGTGAACTTCAAAGTTGACCCTGAAAGTGCAGTTTTCAATTTGTCCTGCTAGATTGTTTACTGGACCAAAAAAAAAAAAGGCAGTTTAGTTTGTTGCCATTAAACACGCTAGTGAAAGATTCTCAGGTAGGCCAGCGGTCCCCAGCGTTACCGAGCTGCACAGATAGATGGGAAATCAATAAATAAATGTTGTTTCTGTCATTTGAATGAATGAATTTATTATGTAGCGGAGCATATACGGCCAGATCGGGAATGTACGTGATATTGACGACAAATTGCTAAATAATAAACCATGATCATAAACGTCATCATAGCTTCCGTTTAGCCACATCCTCACCATAATCAAACGGCTTTTTTTTTCCATGTCCTGCACACGTCCCCCGTTTAAAGTTTTTTGCTGACATTTTCGAGTGGAAAAGTGTACACTGTTGCCGAGCGTTGCGCGCGCACAAACCGCTCCGCGTCCTTGATGTCAATTCCGTCATTCGTCCTCCAAGGTGAGCTCCCTCCTCCCGCTGCTCCGCCACCCGCCTGTTTCTTGCTCGCCGCCCCGTGTTGCGTCATGTTCCGATCAGAGCCACAACAAGAGACCCAACACGGAGAGGCAGCAGGACGCCGAGCTTGAGGCAAACGCTGCCAAACTTTGCATCAGGACTTTTGGGGGGGGTTGATAGGTTGTGTTCATGCAATGCTGAAAGGCAAAGTAGATGCGAGGTTATTGATCATCAAATGAAAGGTTATTTGGTGACTGATACATTCTACATTTAAGTACAGTAGTTGAATCAGTACTTTTTTAACCTTCTTTTTGACACAAGTATCTGTACTTATGCTAAATTACAGAGTGTGAGTACTTTTGCGACCTCTGCCGTCCTCCAATGCATGATTTATAATTGGAGTGACAAGTGATGCATGCGAGACGCCAACGCTCGCCACTTCCTGTCTTCCAATAAGGAGGTATCGCGTGACCTGCCCGTCATGTGACGCGGCGGCAACCAATTGAATTGAACTGGCCGCCTGAATTCCTTCCTTTCTCACCATCAGCCCTTTTTTTTCCCCTCTTTAAAAGAGCTCAAAGCTGTCATTTTCCTAACAACTGTAAAGTTTGCACCTGTATTTTTAAACTTTACTAGAAGAGCGCAGACCTCAACCGCGGTTTGAAAAATAAGATTGCCATGCTTTGGATGACACAAACAAGCAAACAGGGACGCTTTGCAATTGGTACCATAGCTCAGCACGCAGCAGCAAAACAGGTTTTTTTTTCACAAACGATTGATTATGATCACTCTTTAAAATAGTTCAATGTTGAATTAAAAACCATAATTCTCATTTGACAAGGAATTAAACAGCTAACCCAAAACGATCATAATTTTGATTATTTATAAATAATTTCATGAAATGTGTATACATATTCAGTATTAAAAGCGGAAATTTAATTATCGTGTAAGCTTAGAAGTATAAGTATACTTGCATGGTTTTTATTTATGTAAATTGATATTTAAAAATGGAAAAAAAACAGGAAAAACAAAAACACAGGAATTTATTTGAATAAAAATTAATTGTGAACAAATATCAAAATCGGTAAAACACTTCAATTATGACTAATAATTAAAATTGAAATGTGCATTATATTAAAACCATCAAATGTAAAATCATGATTGTTAGTTTGCAGACATCAAGCCCCATGAAAATGAAAGAACCTGTGGCCGACGGTTAGCGATCACGAGAGGATCACATGGAGCGTCTGTGTCACATGCTAAGCCGTCACATTGGGCGGGAGCGGACACGGCAGCCGGTCCAAACTGGTTCTAGGCGGGGGGGGGGGATGCATCTTCCAGGTATCATGCCAGCGAGAAATTATATTGCCGCGGGTTTGAAGCCACTCGACAGCATCAGCCACGTTTGGAAGAAGTGGCGCGTCTACTATCATCGATAAGAACTACAATCAACATTTAATCTAATTTAAACCGCATTAATCCACACATACAGCACAAGTAATGAAAAGCATCGCTCCTGTCATTCTCCATTGCCGCTCATCTGCATCCTCCTTGGCCCACAATGACAGCAGTGCTATGGCAACTGACGAGTGAGAGAAAGAAACAAAACAAAACAATGAATAACATCACAGCCAATCAGCGTTGCTGCCATATTGATTGATGTCCATTTCGTCCAACAGTGCCATTGAAAAGTAAGGGAGGCTGAAGTTACTAAAAGAGCAAGTCGAGTCACACGTGATACGAGTAACACATGCCGACTGCTTGAACGGAATCATGCCCAAGTCACTGTAATTGCCTTTCTTCTCTTTTGACGTATGTGTGTGTGTGTGTGTGTGTGTGTGTGTGTGTGTGTGTGTGTGTGCGTGCGTGTGTGTGTGTGTGTGTGTGTGTGCTTGTGTGTGTGCTTGTGCGTGCGTGCCCTCTAATGTAGCATCAACAACAGCTTGCGCAACACCGGGTCAACTGGAAGCAAGATGGGGTGGCTCTTACCCCACTGTAGCTCCATGATTTCCGCCCCCCCTCCTGCCTTTCCTGCATGCCTGCCTGCTTGAAGTGCTTCACCAAACACACACCTGCACACACAGACCCGCGCGCGCACACACACACACACACACACACACACACACACACACACACACACACACACACACACACACACACTCGCGCAGGCATCGTGCAGGCCGCAATGGAAACTGTGAGTCACCGTGTGCTCTCCTTTGGTATTGGGATCGGGATCCGAAATCATTGAAGCGTTGAGTCACTACAGGCTTTCTTTTGCGTTTGTGTGTGAGTGTGTGTGTGTGTCAATGCGTGTGTGTTCACTAATTAAAAGTGTGTGCAATGGTGTGTGTGTGTGTGTGTGTGTGTGTGTGTGTGTGTGTGTGTGTGTGTGTGTGTGTGTGTGTGTGTGTGTGTGTGTGTGTGTGTGTGGCTACACGTGTCTTGGCTTATTTGCAATGATAATGCAAGCAACGCGTGCTCGAGGGTGGTCATGGCATATTCATTATACACAGCGGTATCCACTGCGTGTTGGTGCAACGCATAATGAGCGCACGCTTTATGCATTTAGGTCCCACGAGCACGATAACAACTCTTCCGAGTGCAGTGAACCTTCACTGTTTGCCAAGGTTAGGGTCCAAGCGGCGAGTAATGCACGCCCCATGCCCCCCCAAAAAATGAAATGTACTCAAAGGTCACCTGACTTCACCTTTAGCGGACACTGTCTGCTGCTCAGTCAGGAGCGTGCGCCACCAGATGATACATTTGGTTTTGCTGTGTGTGTGTTGATGACAAAGTGAGTGGCGACATAAACATATGCTTTGAGGGCCTTGTGAGCATTAGCATTTCTTCTTGTTACACCAGAATGCATTTTTAAAAAGTGATTTACTGGTATGTGACGTTTATTCGTGACAATTACAATTGCTGCGTGAGATACTTTCCACTAACAGGAGCTATTTTATTTATTTTTTGGTCCATTCCTACTGTTCCAATTGAGAATACGAATAAACTAAGTACGCACCGAATTCCCAGCATTTTGTTCTTGTCAGTTAGCTTAAACCGAGGATATGTCGGTTGGCGAGGAAAATATCCCAAGATGCATTTGGACACATAATAAATAATGCTAAGATAAGATAATGCTAAATTGCCATCTCATGTCGGGGCACCATGCATGGCATCAAAGTTTCAAGATCATTCCAAGGATTTGCCATAAAGACCCTTCAATTTTTTTGTTGTTTTTGAAGGATACCTGATCCTAAATGTTAGCGGTGACCAAGAACGCAACTAAGATAGCTGATGTAGCGCACACACGCACTGTCCGGGTTTAAGGAAAGGACAGAGGGCAGTCTGACCTGAGCAGCACTCAGCCGTGATAAGTAGAGTGAAAATGAAGCCGATAAGATTTTAGCTGTGAATCTTTTCCAGACAGGCGTCATGGCAACACACTTACCACAGAATTTAAAGATAGCCCTCACAAGGACAGCCGCCACCCAGAGACATTGCACTTTTTGGCGACTTGAATGGTTTTGAGGAATGAGAGCTTTTTTTTTTTTTTTTTTTTGGAAGGTAGTCCAAGTTCTTGCTGAGCTCCTTTCCTAGTCATTTGGAGCAATCACAGGCCACCATGTGGACACCAAATCATCCCCTGTGAGACCGCAGAGGAACGTCAACAGCATTGCCAGGTTGCCGATCAGATGTTGTCTTGCGTGGAATATTTTGTCAAAACAACTTTCCACATTTAAAAAAAAAAAAAAAAAAGTATATTTATAAATCACTTTGTCTACTATCGGCAGGCTGTAAAGTGCAACCGTATTGACCCGAAGATGTCTGCGAATGCCTGTTTTAGCCAATCAAAAGCGTGATGAAAGTTGTTTCCAGAAAAATCTTTCCAACAACAAAGCTGAATCTAATGAAATGGAAAATGAAGTCAAGTTGAATATCAGCCGAGGTTCTACAGCTTTTGGACGAATTCCCCGGTAGGATCATTAAAATATGAGTGCTAGGATTCCACCCAAATTGGCTGCTTTGAATAAAAAATGGCCAACTTCCTGTTTGACTTTTGGCTTGGATTCTAGAAACTTTTTCATGTGTCTTGTTATGATCGACATTCATGTCGATTAGTGAACTAGTGTTGGACCCCTTCTCAGAGTGAAACCTCATTATACTCAACATGTCATTTGACGGTCCCTCATCTGCTTCTGATTGGGGCTCATTTAGAGCAATTTCTTAGTAGGAATTTGTCCAAAGCATGAAAAATTTGGGAATTCATCCAAAATGGCTGCTTCGAGCCAAAATGTCTGACTTTCTGTCCGATTACAGGAAAGAAAGCGTCTAATTTCTTGCTGATCAGTGATTCTTGTTTTTCTAACTTTCTAGGGGCGGCTCCCGAACGACTTTTGAGGGGCTTTGTGGATGAGACCCCTGGAATAGATCCATTTGCACTGGGATCTCAAGTCTGCAGGAACTGGTTTCCTTTCTACGAAATTGAGGCCACCCAAAATAGGTAAGTCTTCGTTGCATCGCCTGCTATTTGGGACTGGAAAATCACTGTCAGCCTTTGCGGTGACGTGACGCAACCAACAGCCAATAGATGAGCTCTAACAACACCAGAAACAGGAAACTTTGCAAACAATAAAGACAGCGGCATCGCCTTGTGCGTAATAAATGCAGAAAGAATCACGCCTTGTTTATAGCAACCCTGCAAAATTCAGTCTTTGTACAATCCCAGTCTGAGAGACGGGCGTGAGGGCAGGTGTGAGATGATTGATGATGATGATAATAATGACGACGACGATGATTTTTCCAAGGGTCTTTTCCAAATCTCAACATTTTCTGATGTACACACAGCTTTCGTCTCTCTAGACTCAGTATCATCTTGTTAGCCCCTCTGCTCCACCTCCCGTACGACCAATGATTTGGATGAATTTGCATCATGTGTGTATGCTAATGGGCAATAAACATACTGTGGATTGTTAAACAGCTGCCTTCCTGGAATCGCACGAGAACTACCGTGCTCTTTAAGGCTCAAAAAGGCTTCGACTTGGAGCCAGAGAGCTTGTTTGTTTCGACGATCCTGTTCCACTCCAATCCTCTCCGTGGCAGTAATTCACTTTAATTACCACAACGGGACGTCAAACAACAATTTCTTTCCCCGTCTACTAGTTGGAGTTTCCCCTCTTCCCCCGCTCGGCGGTAATGAAGTTTCGTAGGAGGGCCGCGCAAGGCAGGAAGGTGGGAGGTTTGAAAGTGAAAGTGGCCCAAATGGAAATCAGATGCAAGGCGCAGCCAGCGGTCTGAAAGCTTGTGACCTTTGAGAGTTTGCCGGATGTGGAAATTGTTGCTTAGCAGGTTTTCTGAGCCCACACACGCGCACATACTGTACACACTCGCACGTCGGTGCAGACAGCGCCTGGGCTCAGGTGACAGTGCAAACACTGAACACACGGAACGTACAGTAAGAGACTGCAGTGGCGATGACTCATCCGTCCATTGATGAGCTTAACAGCCATCCACTCCACTCCGGGGTTCTGCCTGGGCTTGGCTCCCTCGTGGCTCAAACAACCCCCCCCCCACCCCACCCCTCTTCCCGCTCCCCTCCCCAACAGCACATCTCCTTCCCTTCAGCAGAGCATCTTAAATTAGAGCTCTGGCAGGGGGCCATGTGAGAGTGCAGCACACACGCAGACAGACAGACATTCACACCTCTGGAAGTCTGAGTCAGAAAAGAGGAGCCGTGCTGCAAGACTCGCTCCTCACTTTGGCCGACATGATGCGTCTCTGCCAAAAGCCGTTTTTTGCGCCAGAGTCTTGTGTGCATTTTGGTAGAGTACGCGCAAATTGTGTCTCAATGGCACTGGCGAATATATCCTGGCATGACCCGTTCTGCCGCTCATGTACCAATCTACGGGACGCCGCAGCTAGCATACTGTAGTTGACAGTGATGTACACTGTCCCAATTCGGCAGAGTTCTGTTTGAAAGGATACCAGCGATTCTGTTCGTAGGAGTGCCGTGTGAAATGTACTATTTCTCTGATCGATCACACCCTAACCTTGCTCAAACTCGATCAAACCTGTAAACACCATGGAGTCACACATCGGAAAAGTACTGAGACATTGTTTAGGCTGTGTGAACCCCCTGCAAGGGCGTAGACCAAGGTAGGAGACAGAGGGAATAAACGAGGGGGTGGCAGACACCTTCTCCAGGCACCGTGCGCAGTCGGGCTCCCAGACCTGTTAGTAGGATGTGTTCTTCCGTCCGAGGAAATTGCTTTTGCCTCACAACTGTTGGATTGCGCTTAATCTCACGTCGCGCAAATAATACACCCGCTTAAAAACTGCCCTCCCCACATCATCCGTCCTCATTCTGAAGCCATTTTATTTGGATAGCATGCGTGCTAGCTATTCATGCTAATTGGCCCAAAAAGTAAACTGATTGGCAGATGCGATTAAAGTTGAAAGCCTATGTGAGCATGTTACAGAAAGAGCCCAAAAAACCCACAGAAATGCCTTAATAGGCATTATTTTAGTGATGGCCAAGAATAAAAAAAAATAAATAAATAAATTAAAAAAACCAACAACAATTCTGAGAATTTGCAAACCGCAAATTGGAACTAGAATCCTCAGGCATTGTTAAGCGCTAACGTATGCTCAACACACCCATTCGTGCCAGCCTCCGATGGCCAAATATGTTGCAAACACATCATTCCTGTCAGAGCTAATACCGCAAACGTTGACAGTAATCACAGGCCGTTCAATACTGTTTTTTTTCCCCTCCATCTTCAAGCTATTTGGCCCGCGGCAGTGGTCTTTAGAGACGACAGTCAAATTATTATCTTAAATAGCGACTCATCCTTGAAATGGGCACAGTCCTCCCTTTGTGCTTCCATCATCCAACTATTCGGATTTATTTATTTATTTTTTACGGAACGACGGACCCTCTTATCTGCCTTTGTCCTCATTCCGGCATGGCCTAGATTCTCATGTGATCAACTTTTAAAGCACAAGCTGTCCCTCTGGAGACATACTTAAAAAAAATAAAATAAAAAAGTCAACGTAGAAAGAAAAACTTGCGTACGGTAAAGGATTCGTCCATTTGCACCTGCTATTCGGTCTGTGTTGCCGGAGACAAAACAGGAAGCCGCGTTCAGGAAATGGAGTTTCAGGTGTTGACATGCAAGTGCTAGAGGTGCCTTTTATTGGCCTTCATTTGTCGTACAGGACCCAACCTGTCGGCTCAAAAATAAAAGTAAAGGATCTGCAGGTTTACGTTACATTCTGAAAACTGCAACATAGAAAACATGGATATTCGCTGGTATGTTGGCAGCCTATTTCAATGTTTAAGGCCCTTTATGTAGTTTAGTTACGGGTATTCCTAAATGGAGTAAATTCACCCCCTTCCCCACCTTTGGAATTTCACACACAACATCGTCTCATGATTAAAACATAACAAAACGTTTTGCGTATCCACAGCCTTTGCTCAATACTTTGTTGACGCAACTTTGTCTGCTTCGAGCGTTTTTGACGACGCACTCAGAAGGGACCCCATCAAAGCTGCATTTTTCTGTACCCTTCCCCAGATTTCTGCCTCGAGACACTTCCCTGTCTCAAAGCGTTTACAGACAATTCATTTGACTTCATGCGTAGTTTGTGCTCAACCGTGAGGCCTCACATAGCGCCATGTTTTTGATCAAACTATTGATGTGTTCGCATCTACGTTGGTGAAGTCGATTAGCATTGATTGCGCGGATAGCGCTGCCGTCTTAGTTGCACTCCCAAGTTGAAAATCGAACACGCGCCATCACAACATTGTGATGAAAAATGCCACTGCATCATACACGCGCCGCATCAGGTGTCGCTCGGTAATCTATTTCCGAAGTGTAAGCAGGACGCCTTGTGATGCGTGGGCGCGCTCGAAAATGAATCACGTTGACTTGACTGACGCCGCCGTCATTTTCCTTTTCAAGCACACATGACAGGTAACTCTTGATAAGAACTGCGTGCGAGTGTGTGTGTTTATGTTGTGGTGCTGTATAATATTTCTCGGGGATGGAGAAAGGTTGCCATGGCAGCAGCGTGAATGAATGTGTCTGTGTGAGAGCTTTTTATGAGAGGCCAACTGAGGACAGCGCGATTGTCATTTCGCCGTCGCTTATCTTGCAAGCCGCTGAACGCCATGACAAGGTTTTTCTTTTTTTTCAACTGACCTTCCGCCTTGTGCGGAGACATAATAGCGACATAACCATACCCTCGGATTTCATGTTTCAAGTGCTGCGGATGTCTGAGAGGATCTTGCTGATGTGGGGAAGGAAGTGTCAGCGTCAAAGCACATCGCGGATGAGGGCGTGAGGTCCCTTTAAGGGGTCACATTCTGCTACTCAATAAATGTTTGATAATCGTTTTCTGCCGGCAACTAGTACACTAATCCATCTGTGGTCAAAATACGAGGCCTGGAATTCAATTCAAGATGGCTACTGGTACTTCAAACCAAAATAGCCGACTTCCTGTTCATATTAGGTCATGGCTTCTTGAGACTTTTTCGTGCGTCCTGTTTTGATAGACTCACGCAATTTTGTTTTCGCCAGGGTACACAAAATCGGTGAGTTTTTAGGAATGCCGGGGGCCTTCTGCCACATTCTTGAGCTAGATTGCACACCACTGCGACGATGACGCTGAGCTCCGGCCCCTGGAGGCCCGACAGCTCGTTTAGGGTGAGTAACGCCACTGTGAGGATGTGAGGAATCTTAGCCATCCTCTGGCAGTTGACCTCTGCCAGTCTTCTAGGACACGTCAGTCATAAGAGAGCAGTCTGGTGGAGTGGGTGGGCGGGCGGCGAGGGGGTTGTCTGGAAAGCCGATGATGACGATTCCCAGCGGGTTTTTCTCGAGCGTGTGGAAGCGATTGTCTATTAGGATTCATGAGTGGTTACCACATCTGCCTCACAAACGAAAGGAGGCTTATCTTAAGGGATAAGTTTGGACAAAAAAAAAAAGAGTCAGTCACAGAGCAAGAAGGGAGACGGTTTCATGTGTATGTTATGTTTAACAGTAAAATAATAATTCATTCCCATCAGATCTGTGCATCTTCCCACAAAAGACGATTCGATGTTGTTTTCAGTACGTGCGGTGTGAAACGATGAAAGGATGGGATCGATTTGAAAGTGGACTGCTTCGATTCGGTTGATGAATCCTGCCTCTGTCCCTCTTCCCTGAAAGAGGGAAGCACCATTCCCCAACCCCCCGGCACCCCTCTCATCGTTCCAAGAGGAAACACATTTGGAATGCTGCACATTACAGTAGCGTCTCCCCATTCCTCCTCCATCCTCTCCCCAATCTAATTTGCCAGCACGCGATGCATTCAAATTCCACGTGTCACGTGAGTGCTCCTCATTTGCATAATCCTGGAAAGAAGGAGGGCGGTGTGAGCCAATAGAAACCCGGAGTGGCAGTGACGTAAGGAAGGCGGGGCAGGAGGCTTCTCGCTTGCAGTACGTGACGTTCGAGTCAGTGTGCACTGTGCAGCTTCACTCTGCACTGAAGGAACCAGGCAGGATATCCCACTATCTCTCCTCCCCTCCGAGCCAGCCCAGGGAAGAGGCACCGCGGCGTCACGGGAGAGGATGCCCTGCTAAATCAAGGGATAGGCCCGGGAAAATCAGCCGGCCCCGTCCTTTCTTTCCTTCATTCCTCCCGCACGACAAGCGACACCCTCCTTCCACCTGGAAGCGAGAGAGAGAGAGAGAGGACGTCTGCTTCTCCTCACAAAACAACCCACCACCACGTCCACTTTGTCCCCCCACCCCCAACTCGTGTGCACGGGGGGTTCTCCGTGACGACCCCCGCGCGTGGATTCTATGGAACAAGGGCCGACCTGGTACTTGTTAACACGAAGGCTAACTAGTTAGCTACACCTGCTAACCACCGTTTTTCGATATCGACTGGGAACAAGTTTACTTTGTCTACTTATTATTTTTTTGTACTGCTTTCACGAGCATTCGTTCAGATCTATTGTTTCTATTTTACGAAACGATTTTATAAACGTTTTTTAATACACCGGTAAATAAGCTAACACGCGAGCAGATGCTTTCAAGCTCGCGTTCAGTGCATTAAAACTGACTTTTTTTTTTTTTTTTTTTTTTTTTTTTTCTAAAACCATTTAGCTGTGTTTTAGCAAAAATATTGAAACTTCCCAGGAACGATGCTCTAGTTTTCAACCTAAATATATCAATCATATTCAGATTAATGTAGCATACAACAAATTGTACCTTTTGACTGTTGGGGCAACTGTTTGCCATTTAAAACCCACAATAAAAATATATATTTTTTAAAAATCCTTATTTACACGATTGGTATATTTTGAGTAAAATGAGTTTCAAACTCAACGCTTTTTTTCTGTCTATCAGATTATATTGTTTATCAATGCTTGTTAAATGGGAGCCATTTCAAGTCGTACCCTGGCACTCAATCAGAGACAAGAATGTTTCAAGTGCTGTACGACAGCGAGGATTACATCCAGTGTACTGTATAACTGAGTACGAAGGACACAGAGAGTGGCCGCTTGATATTTTTTTCTCCTCCCCACCTCCAAAACAAACAAGGTCAAGAAAAAGGCTTGTCTTGATATCATAAACCAAGTCCAACAATTGCTGGCGGCAAACAACATTGGTAATCAACTCAGTGAAATCTAATCTATTTGTGTGGGGGAGGGTTGATTTGACGTGGCGTGTGTTGTTGCAGATGACCTCACCGGCAGAGCTATTTTTATTCAATATGGAGACATTTTAGTCCCTGTATTTCTCTGTTACCTGCTTATCAGGGCTATCGAGCGTGTGGAAGCGATTGTCTATTAGGATTTATGAGTGGTTACCACATCTGCCTCACAAACGAAAGGAGGCTTATCTTAAGGGATAAGTTTGGACAAAAAAAAAAAGAGTCAGTCACAGAGCAAGAAGGGAGACGGTTTCATGTGTATGTTATGTTTAACAGTAAAATAATAATTCATTCCCATCAGATCTGTGCATCTTCCCACAAAAGACGATTCGATGTTGTTTTCAGTACGTGCGGTGTGAAACGATGAAAGGATGGGATCGATTTGAAAGTGGACTGCTTCGATTCGGTTGATGAATCCTGCCTCTGTCCCTCTTCCCTGAAAGAGGGAAGCACCATTCCCCAACCCCCCGGCACCCCTCTCATCGTTCCAAGAGGAAACACATTTGGAATGCTGCACATTACAGTAGCGTCTCCCCATTCCTCCTCCATCCTCTCCCCAATCTAATTTGCCAGCACGCGATGCATTCAAATTCCACGTGTCACGTGAGTGCTCCTCATTTGCATAATCCTGGAAAGAAGGAGGGCGGTGTGAGCCAATAGAAACCCGGAGTGGCAGTGACGTAAGGAAGGCGGGGCAGGAGGCTTCTCGCTTGCAGTACGTGACGTTCGAGTCAGTGTGCACTGTGCAGCTTCACTCTGCACTGAAGGAACCAGGCAGGATATCCCACTATCTCTCCTCCCCTCCGAGCCAGCCCAGGGAAGAGGCACCGCGGCGTCACGGGAGAGGATGCCCTGCTAAATCAAGGGATAGGCCCGGGAAAATCAGCCGGCCCCGTCCTTTCTTTCCTTCATTCCTCCCGCACGACAAGCGACACCCTCCTTCCACCTGGAAGCGAGAGAGAGAGAGAGAGGACGTCTGCTTCTCCTCACAAAACAACCCACCACCACGTCCACTTTGTCCCCCCACCCCCAACTCGTGTGCACGGGGGGTTCTCCGTGACGACCCCCGCGCGTGGATTCTATGGAACAAGGGCCGACCTGGTACTTGTTAACACGAAGGCTAACTAGTTAGCTACACCTGCTAACCACCGTTTTTCGATATCGACTGGGAACAAGTTTACTTTGTCTACTTATTATTTTTTTGTACTGCTTTCACGAGCATTCGTTCAGATCTATTGTTTCTATTTTACGAAACGATTTTATAAACGTTTTTTAATACACCGGTAAATAAGCTAACACGCGAGCAGATGCTTTCAAGCTCGCGTTCAGTGCATTAAAACTGACTTTTTTTTTTTTTTTTTTTTTTTACAGTTCAATGCATTTTTTGAACGCTTTAACGCAACATAATAAGGGCCGATAAGTGGTTTGGAAAACGTTCTCAGCGCATTTGGGACGTTTTCAGGTGAATGGGAAAACAAAGGCGAGTGGAGTCTGCTATGATTTTGCCTCTTGTCCTGCAAGTTGCTTTTTATTTCAATTAACCCTGTAAACCAAACGAGCGCTATCCCGACCGAGGAAGACCCCAAAGCGGACTGAAGCCGTCGTCGTCGCCGATCCCGGTGGAGCTATTACACCAACATTCCCCCATGAACATACAGAGGTCACGTCCTATTAACATTTCACGTCATGGCAGATCGCGGCACAAATCGCACGACTTCGAAGATCTATCTTGCCTGAGGAGCGCCGAGTCGCACCAGAGCTTCAGCCCCAACCTCGGCTCGCCCAGTCCCCCGGAAACCCCCGACGCCTCGCACTGTATCTCCCGCATCGGGGACTACCTCCTGCTGGAGCCCCTGGAGGGGGACCACGTCTTCAGGGCTGCTCACCTGCACAGCGGCGAGGAGCTTGTCTGCAAGGTGGGCCCACACACATCAAGTGCATACGCATTTGCCCAAGTGCACAAATATTCAAATTTCATATGCATTGATCCACAAGCGAGCGCTCTGCACTACTTGGCTCGCATTTCAAATACCCAGAGAGGAGCCTCATGGAAAAAGTGAATGGGACCGCATGACGTAACGTTCATTATGGTGCAGGAAGCACGCACGGACGCGCGCGAGCGCGCACCCGCCGCTTCAATCCAACACAAGATTTGCATGCAAAATGTGCCACTGAAAGGGAATTCCTCATTTCTGATGCAGTCGTTTAAATGTACTGCACAGTGTTATTGTAGTTATGCTTTGCACCGGTACATTCCGTCATACCGGCGAGCTGTTCCTTTGACGAGCAGCCACACTTCCGTCAGGCGGCCCCAGGGCAGTTGAGGTTTATGAAATTTACCGCCAGCAGAGTATGAATGTGCGAATGCATGAATAATGTATCCGTTGTGAGCGCTTTGAGTGTCCAGTGTCCAGAAAGGCGCCGTATAAATCTGATGCATTGTTGTTATTATTATTATTATTATTATTATTGGGCACTGGATACCAACATTCTCATAGCACCCGATAGGCTGCAACTTGACACCTCACTGGCGGTGTCATTAAAAAAAAGACACAAGTAATGCTGCGTTGTTAATAACGATGCGCGTCATAAAAGTTAGAACAAATAAACAATCAGAGTCAATTTTTTCAAATAATTTATGGTCTAGAGTGCCCTCAGATGGCCAGGAAGAACAAATAAACAATCAGGAGTCATTTTTTTTTCAAAAAATTTATGGTCTAGAGTGCCCTCAGATGGCCAGGAAGAGCACTGACTTTGTCAAGAAGGCACAAAGCTTATTTTCCCATTGCCAACCATGTGTTAATTTGTATATTTATTTCAAAGTATAAATTAGGGAAAGACCAATCATCAGTGCCAGTATTCTTCATTTTCTAAGAGTAAGCGCTGACTTTTTTTTTCAAATCCATCAAGCATAATGGAGCCATTTAAATTGGGTTATTTCGGCTTTGACAGGGAGACTATCAAAGAAAGTGTCATTTCTGCGTGCTTAATACTGTGTTTTCACTTTAAATCCACGAGGCATGAAATGGTTTATTATGTCATAATAAGCACACATGAATTGCCCACCTGTTGAACGTTTGCTCCCAAAATGCTGAGGCACCCTATCATTGACTGATCAATCCCGCCATTGATCCCTCCCGCCAGCTCAGCCGTCTCAAGGAGGTTTTAAGATAAGGCGCTGTGGGGAGTTCTTTTCTGCTGCGAGCGCGGGAAGCGAGTCAATCTGAGGAAGAGGAGTGTGGGGAGTGGGGTTGCCACGGCAACTCAAGGGGCACTGCAACCTGGGGATGCAGTGCATTGCTAATATGACACACTTTTATTCCTCATCAATATACCAAATCCCATTTCGTTGCTCAAAAATGCCAAACCCCCAAATTTCGATGAAATGTGCTCGTCGGATGCTGGTGGAAATTTAATTTGGTCGACCTTGGAATCATTTACACCCGCGTGGTCGTATCGTTCAACTGAAGCATTTCAATACAAACTATAACTCCCCCCAGTCATCTGTTTGATAATACTGAACAGAAAGAAATAAAAGACCATGTTCACTTTTATTTACTAGGTGTCCCTGAATGCAACTCCCGTAGCTATAATGTGGCTGGTGTTGTAAAGATGAATGATGGCTGCGCAGAACCGCAAGCCAACATTGATTACACAACCAAACGGGTGAGAAATAACACCCAAGGAAACCAATATTTTCATGTCACCACTCCTGGATTTGCCTGTTGCTGAATAGTAAACAATCCCCTGGAAACAGAAAATAAAATTTCACACATTATGTAACGCCATCTTTGCAGGTTGACTAAAATGGCTTCCTAACATCATTCATCACTTTGTTTCCCTCCGCCTCAGGTGTTGGACGTGGGCCGCTACCAGGACTCTCTGGCGGCCTACTTCGCCCTGGGCCACCACCAGCACATCAACCAGGTCCTGGAGGTCCTGCTGGGCGAGACCCGGGCCTACGCCTTCTTCGAGCGCAGCCATGGCGACATGCACTCGTTTGTGCGCACCTGCAAGAAGCTGCGCGAGGACGAGGCCGCCCGCCTCTTCTACCAGATCGCCTCGGCCGTGGCGCACTGCCACGACAGCGGCCTGGTGCTGCGAGACCTCAAACTGAGGAAGTTTGTTTTCAAGAACGAGGACAGGTGAGCGGTCTGGCCAAAACTCAACATATGGACCAATTCACGATTGTGTCTAAGGTACTGTATGTTTGTGTTGCATCGGTTCCTAATCGCTTACAAATTACAAGGCAAATGATTAAGGTTAGTCAGCAGACTGGGAGATAAATGCGTCTGTTGCTAGCACAATCATAATTAAGGTCATATAATAATTGGAATTACAGATCAAATAGTAAATCTGTGCATCCATTTCATCCTACCGTAGCCCAACTTGGCAACAAACTGTACGAATGGCGCCCTCGGGTGGTTAAGTGGTGAAGCGCAGTGTGCCACCGTTGCTTCGCCACACAATCAAGTTAAAAAGGATTCTCCGTGCTCGCCTTGAATCATTCAAAAATGTCCCGCTACAGCATCACGCGTGTGCATTTCTAAGGCGCCCACCTCCATTTGGGTGTTTAAGAAATAATCTTACAAGGCACAATGGCGACGATAAAAAATGCGACTCTTCCGCTTTCGAAATGGCGTATTACTTCACTGTGATCGGGCATAAGTGATGAGAAAATTGTACCTTCAACTTGACTTTTTTTGGGGAGCATTTTCTTTCCGCACAACATTTAAGAGGGACCGCATGCTCTTCATCTGGTTTAAAAGCTCTTGTTACTTAACAGCACTCCAGGGTATGCTCAGTCTCCTTCCAGTGCGCTTTACAGAGCAAACACGAGCTGTTCTGTCATTTTTATTTGTGTGTGTGTGTGTGTGTGTGTGTGTGTGTGGTTGGGGCGCAGACATTCAACTACTCTTATTTCAGCCCATTTTATACAAAATAAAATCCCCTCGTAGCACCGACACGTTTGTCTTTTTTTATCTAAACGAGCGCTCAGCATTAATCCTGAGGAATCACCCGCCTTGCTTCCTCTTGTCTTCAAAAGAACTTTCCGTCAAGCCTAATTACCCCGCTTGTGCTGCTTTAATTATCAGGCCCTTTCGCACGGAGGTCGGAGGTCACGTGAGCGGCGTAAATTTCTTTCCTTTTTTTGCCCTATTTTGACATATTTTACCGAGGTTTGATATGGTGGTCGTAACAAGTAGACACATTTCTGACACACTGCATCAGAAACCTAGTTGAGGATTATTCAGTTCGAATCAAAATAATCCGTTTTAATTCTAAGTAAATCAGTTTCCCATCACTGGTGAGCTATTTTTTAGAACAGACCGGTGAGCTACTCATGTTGTCCTTGAGGCTTACTAGTACCTGCTGGCACCATTTTTCTTTTTTTGGGGGGTGGGGGGGGGGGCATCCGTGTTGGCCTTGTCTCGATTGTCTTGCTCCCTCCCTCCCTCCTATGCTTGCTGAGAAGGAGAAAAAAAAGTTAATTGGAGGCAATTAACTTCGAGTGGCAGCTCAGTTCCTCAGCCCTCCAATGTATTTTGGTCGCCGCTCTTGAAATGTCTTTCCTTTTTTTTCCAATGGGGAGAATGTCAGGAGTGATTGAATGCCTGTTTGTGTGCGTGCTAAAGACCCCCTCCGATATTACAACAAAACGATGGGGAAAATGGCGGCGTTCCACCGATCATTGTCCTCACATGTTGTTGTTGTGCTCCGGTACGCCACGAAGGAGTTCCCTGAAACTGGAGAGCCTGGAGGACACGTACATGCTGGCGGGCAGCGACGACTCGCTGTCCGACAAACACGGCTGCCCGGCCTACGTCAGCCCCGAGATCCTCAACGCGGGCGGCAGCTACTCGGGTAAGGCGGCCGATGTGTGGAGCCTGGGCGTCATGCTCTACACCATCCTGGTGGGCCGCTACCCCTTCCACGACGTGGAGCCCGGCTCGCTCTTCAGCAAGATCCGCCGCGGCCACTTCAGCGTGCCCGACACGCTCACGCCAAAGGCCAAGTGCCTGATCCGCGCCATTTTGCGCCGTGAGCCCACCGAGCGCCTCACCTCCCGCGAGATCCTCCAGCACCCCTGGTTCGCCGCCGCCGCCGCTTCCCCGGGAGCGCGAGGGGAGCCGGAACAGATGGTACCGGAGGTGACCATGGAAGAGGAGCACTTATTCAGTTGAGCACACGCCCAAGCACAAACGGACTACAGCTGTCGTTTAGCCATGTTGTTGCTTTCCCCCCCCCCCCCCCAGCATTTTCACAGAAAGAAAAAAAAAACCTCCAAGCCTGGCATGATAAACATTGGAAGCTGACCCACAAATAATAATGTAGCATCATGTGCTGTTCAAGAAACATTTTTTTGTAATTATTCTTTTTGGTTTGATATGGTGCTCGTAACAAGTAGACACATTTCTGACACTACGGCAAGCATGAAGGGACAGATCCACGATTGGATTCTTCATCATTGCTGGGATTTCAACAAAACAAAAAAAGATTTTCATCGTTGCTCCTCTGCTTTCAGTCTCGGAATGTTTTTCCCGCATTCCGCTGTGGCGTCCACTTGATGCGTGTCCCACCATTTTAAATTTAGAACTTTAGGGGTTGGGAATTTTCAAATTGGACATCTTTTGTGGTGTATCATGTGAATTTGGGGGAATAACTGACAGGTGAATAGTGCGCTCGAAATCGTCCGTCAGTGTGACTGCGAGTGTGAATGATTGTTTGTATGTGTGCCTTGTCGATTGGCTGGCAACCTGTTCAGGGTGTCCCCCGCCTTCTGCCCGAAGACAGCTGGGGTAGGCTCCAGCACGCCCGTGACCCCCGTGAGGATAAGTGGATTAGAAAATGGATGAATAAGCATTTACCCCCCACATTTTTGTTTGTTTTACAGGGTTTCAGTCATCAAGGTCAAAATAATCCCTGAAGGTTGGTTCAAAAACTCTTTTTTGAATTGCTGTTTTTTATTTTTTTTCATCTTGTTTATGCGATGAGGTTTATGATTTTGTTTTGTAATCATCAGACGTCCATGCAAAATAATGTCAACAGATTTATTTCCAAGTACTAATACTGTTACTGCTTTGGGCTGAGCACAAAAACAGGGTCCCACCACCAACCAAACATAAATTGGCATACATGACCACACCCTGAACACGCGTTGGGGCTTCACCGTATTCCCCCAAATTCCCAAGAAATCTAACTTTGAAAATGTCTGGAATTTTGCAACCCGTGGAATAGTTTTCTGTGAGAAATAAATTTTGCCAACTATTTCGTGGCGGTGTGCACTTAACGTGTGGCTACCGTTTAAAATTTTGTATTTAAAGTTTTTGGGAAAACGAGAGCGCGGCGTTTATTTAAATTAAACAGCTATACATGAATATATGTGTACATACATATATATGTATGTGTATATATATATCTATATATATCTATATCAAGAAGTATAAATCTATATATTTAAAAGTACTACATTGCAGGGTTTTAGTTTTTCTTTTGACACAGGACGTTGTCTCACGCTCCACCTTATGGGCTACTATTCCCACCGCCACTCCCCCTCTTCGATCGATAACAATGTAAAGCACTTGTAGAACTCCGGGTCGCGCTGTGCATTATGGGTAAGGGGACTCTCTTTGGCTCCCAACTTTTCTTTTGTCGTTTGCTACTCCTTACACGGACTGTCCTCTGCTGGGACACGACATTTAAGATTAATGAAGTCAGGCACACACCGATGTGCTGTCATACAAAACCGTTTGTTTGGTCTTCAAAACCCACCTCAAAACTCACTTGTATTCTTTGGCATTTGACTCAGCATGACTTAGATTTGTTCTTGGTTTTGCTGTTCGGTGCTTTCTACCGTCTTTATTACCGATTTGCTTTACTGTTTGTTGTATATGTTAAATTGCTCCATGTAAAGCACTTTGTATGCAGCGATGGCTGTTTGAAAGTGCTCTATAAATACAGTTGAGTTGAGAGTTCAGTTGAGCCCCCCCCCCCCCTACCTGGACTCTCACACATGTGCAGCAGAGTTCTGCAAGTGGTTTATTCTCGATGTCCCTTGAATTTGCAAGGGCGGGGTCTGGTCCAGCCTGGAAGGCCACCTCCACAAAAATCCTCCTCCCTTCAAGTAAAAAAACTTTTTTTTTTCTTTTTCCCTTGTAGATGGAGCTTCCTTTTTGATTTAAATTGGTGCTGATTTGGTACTCATGAGAAAGGGGTACCAGGGAAGGCATTTTTTTTTGTGGTGCATGGTGGGATATCTGCCTCAGATGTTCAGATGATATCGTTTAAAACCATTTCTGGTGAGATTCTGGTGTTTTGTCCAAATTTATTATTCCGTCAATAAAATTGTGAACTGCGATTTGGTGTCATGCTGTAATTTTATCCAAGTGTGTATTTAATGTAAACACAAGATCAGGATGAACGGATGAAGCAGAATCACAACGAATTCATATTTGCATGTATTTTCATAAAACTGAAATACATGTCTATTTGTGCACATATACATATCGGTGATGTATATATGTATCTATTCATGCATTTATGTACAGTACGTGTATAAATGTGTTGAATCAAAATCGCTATATAAATCTTATCATTCTTACTTATTTTTTTTATTTGGTTACTTTTACTTTTATTATTCAAATCATAGTGACCCACATTGACAAAAACGGTTTTTTTTAATGTTGAATTCCCCCCCCCCCCATTTGATTTTGTCACGTGGTTGCACAAACTAAAATCATTTGGATCCAGACAGAACTTTAAAGTAGATTTATAGTCAACTCAAATCAAAATTACATCTTCTCATAATCATTATAATACTGTTGTTTACCCATTAGACAGCCACGATTACTTTAGCTCCACCGTGTGGCCAAAAGGCGTACTGATGTACAATTTTACCTTGGAAATTCACGGTCAAGTCACTAAAATCTAACAGAAGCATTTTTTTTACATCCTGTAACATATTTTAGAAAACAGTAACGCCCATTAACCAAATGAAACGAATTACTATCGCGAATTAGATATTTAACAACAAAGGCAACGTTAAAATTATTTCAAGAAACTGCTCTAAACTGATGCACTTTTCTTATCTCAGAGCTTTATTGGATACGTCAGGTTTTCTGCTGCTCCACAAGCTCCTTTTTATGCTGCTCGTTTGTCAAGGACTTAACGTGGCAATAAAGTGTTACGTTGGCGTCGTCCCTCTATCGGCTGCTCTTGTGTGGACATCAACTTTTATGATATGCAGTATATATATGTTTGTTTATATGACCGCAGGCGACATGTGACATTGTTTGATGGGTTTACCGCACGCCTAATTGCACAATGCAAACTCCCGAGGGCCTCATACAAGTCACGTCATGTTGATTTATGTAATCTGATGTAGTGGGCATTCTGGCCTACAAGCCACATTATGAAGGCTTGCAAACAAAATTGTATTTAAATTCATCCCAAAAAAGTCAAAAATGTTCCAAAAACTTTGACCCCTCCAAAAAAAAAAAAAAATTAACTCAAAATTGTCCCCCATAAATTGCAGCCAAAAAAATCACTACAAAAGGTGTCAAATAAATAAGGAATCAGGCCAAAATTCTGATGAAAAGAAAAAATATCACCCCCCCCCCAAAAAAAAAATCTACTCAATTTTAAATGATTTATTGTCTTTTGTCGGACACTTAACCGAATAACTAAAATATCGGTGCAAATGTTCCTCAAAAGGGAAGCTCTTTAAATCAGAGTCTGTGTGAAACAAAAGCCAAGCAACCGCTACTTTGATAGCCCCTGTGAATGTGATTACGAATTAAAACGGGCCAAGACCAAGTGCTCCGACACGGTCTTCAAAACATGGACTTGTCTCGACTGTGACTTCAGTCTTTCACTGGAAATCCGCGGCTGTATTTTTATGCATGAATAGACTTACTTTCCTCAGAGGAAAAACCAAGCATTATAGCAAGCAATTAACCTTCAAAAGAAAAAGAAAAAAAGAAAGAAAAGCTCAGTGGCGGCGGGGTCAGAGTGAATCAATGCTGTTTCATTTCCAGACAGAGATAATGGATCAACGCAGACATACTGTCTGACAGCATAAATGTTTTTTTTTTTGTGTGTGTGTGTAATTTCACTTCCATAAGACCCCCACTTAGTTGATCTGTCCTGCCTATAATACATAAGGAGTCATAAGCAGGAAGTACTTTAACAAAATGAGATTAATCAAAAATGAATCGAACTGAATGAAATCGTTCTATTGTATCGCACTCCATGTATCAAGATATGTTTGGAATCATCTCCTAATTGTGACCAAACTTTTTTTCCAACCTGGTCACCTCCCCAAAATAATGACCCGGAATTTCCTGACAAGGCTGTTCATACTGCACACTCCTCAGCGATACGAGAGCCCTTTTTGCTTATGCTAATTGCTAATGAGAATAATGGGGTCCTGTGCCAGTCAATTAAACACACGACTCCGGAGAAATGAGGAATAAAAATGGAACGCTGATAAGAAGGCCGACTATCAGCTAGAATGTAACATTTTCCTGCAGGATAGGACGTGTGGAGCATTTTACTGGAGTTGCCTTTTTTGGAGTGTCTCTGCCTTCATTTACATGCAGTCAAGTGTGATATTTATAGTCTATGGTAGATAGGACCAAGCCTTTTAAAACATTCTCTGTCCCGTCTGGATGTCACCGCCACCTGAATTCTAAACTCCAGAACCTGAGACGGAATGAAATAGTGACCGCCACTGGAAAAGAGGTTGTACCCCAATCAATTGCCTGGAACAGCAGTACTCGAATAAACACCACACCTCAAATAGAGTACTTTATTTTTCCACATAGGAAATAAGAGATGGCGCATATGACTGTGTTTACTGTGGCTATGTGTCATGAATTTTTAGTGGGCGGGGGGGGGGGGGAGACCACAACATGCACAAAATTGTGTCAGAAAATTGTACTGTTATCAAAACAATCGTACCAAAAAGTTTACAGCTAAGGCTTGTCCTCTAATGAGCATCGCAGGTATCTTCAAACATGGTGTGTTCCCCCAAATGTAGTCATTGCCATGAAAAATCACTTTGTCAGAGTTCCGACATTTACTCAATGAAATCGTTTGGTGAGGGTGGGGGGGCGGGGGGGTTACAGTACAGTCATTGGATCTAAAACGAAATCTCGTTGACCAGAATCACTCCTGCGCTTCCACCGAGTATGCGGCAGGAGGCGCTGTCTTACCGATGTGTGGACGGACCACGCATGCACGAAAAGGGGAGGGGCTTGATCCAGAGTGTAGTGAACGCACAGTCTCACTTGTCTTCCTCCAGTCTTCATCAGTGCACCTGCGTCACGGTGTGTTTCGTCTACGGTGACCCGCAACGCGGACGAACGCGCTCACCTTTTAGCGACCCTGCTCCGAACCGACTTGGACAACAATGCACCAGCGCCCCGTCCTCTTTGCCGGATAAGGACCGCGTTGGAAGGGAGCACGGACGGACGGACGCACGGAGGGAGGAAGCAAAGCTGCAGCTGGTGGTGATTAGTCGGCCGGGGCGAGGAACCGAGCACCACTGGAGCAACGAGCGGCCCCGGAAGGTAAGCCACGCCGCGTCCGCCTTTCGGTGCTCTTGTGTCGGGCACCAGCTCCGACGTGAGTCGGCCACTTCTCATGGCATCAATGAATGGTTTTAAACCTTGTGCGCAGGCGCACACAACTTGTACATTATTATTATGATTATTGTTATTATTTTTGTTGTTGTTCATGATGTGCATGTAGCTGGACAAAGCACTCATTAATGGAACTTGTGTAAATTGGAATGACAGGATATTTAATTGCATTTTGAATGAATCTACATGAAGTCATGATTAGCCATAATAGGGATTTATTGTTATTTCCCAAGCACACAGTGTTCAGGTTGCATTGATTTAGCTATGCTGATGCCAGCATGGATCAGACACCTCATTGTACCTCCAATGATACTCATTTTTGTGCTGTTAAATGAATGCGTTTAGTGGCCCGCTTTGCATCATATTAACGCCATAGCTGCATGAGAGGGTCACAATATAAGGAGCGTGACCTCTAACCTCTATCATAAACATATTGTTGGATAATACACATTTTGTTTGTGGAGCAACTTCCTGACTGCATCTATATTTAGTCGCCGCTCGACTCGGCCAAGTCGGAGCTCGGCGTCATGTTGGTTCCAATGATGGTAATATCATAATCTGGTCGCCATATTTAGCATGATTTATAAACCCCTGCCACCCTCTTACTTCTTGCAGACGCTTTTACGAGTGGAGTGACGAACGTGCACTATGTCACTGTACTGAGGTATGTTTTTCAGCTACCTGTACTGAATTTATTTACTTTTCTCAATATTTTTTAATGTAACTCCCTGGATTTATTTGAAAACTCGGTACTCCTTACTTTCTCACACTTAGGCCTATCCCTTTTTTTTTCCAACCTTTGCAGATGATGTGAAAAAGAAAAAAAAAGAGCCTTTAATACTTAATTTTCTCGTGATCATTGGCTCATCTAGCATTTTTTTTCTCATTCACAATATGCCAATGTAGCTTTGGGGATGCATTGTTTTGATAGCATTAAAGCCTTACATAACGACATGTAATGTGACCCCCCCCCCACATAATTTTGTTTATAGATCACCCCCCCCCTTGTGTTAAATTATACATTTCCTATTCCCCACATTTATTTTTAATTTTGGATTTAAGTAGCTGTACTTTACTTTAACTTAAAGAGTGTGAGTACTTTAGCCACATCAGCTGCATATCCCATACAGTCCAGTACAGTACATTGCTTCCCTTTTCGCCACTGAGGGTAATCCGTCCTTGTCTGATGTGAATTACGCCGGCCCAGGAACTGGCCTTGGCTGGAGGAATTCATTTCGAGGCCCATCCGAAGACATTCATCCTATTAGCTGATGGCTCCCATTGTCGCTTTGCTCAGCAAATTATAATACGGTCGCCCCGGGGCCATTTGTGTTGTCGTTATTACCTCCACCAAGCACAAAACTACGACCAGGATGGATTTATGCGAAAGAGGTATTTGTTTGCTATTTTGCCAATTTGGAACTGCTCCAGAACGAGAATGGCACAACCTTGTCTGTTTCATTCTCTTGGTTTATAAACAAGGAAGTCAATATTTAGTAAATATAGAAAAACAGCACCTTTACAATGGTGATGGTTCGTTTGACTTGTTTATGTGAATTGTATTCACTGTTTTATTGACTGAAGTTCAAATAGAACTACCCTAGAATGCTAATGACGCAGTTTCGTCCAATCGAGGACCATCCCTTTCTTTAATTGTTTTACGAGCCAGGAAATTAAAATACAATTAAATATGCACAAACAATGGCAGTCTTGCTTCTTTTCATGATCTCTACTTCATATTTTTATGGTTTAAGTTACAAAAGAACTGCCCCACACTGCGAATGTTCCAACCCCGACCATTTACTCCAAATGTTTTACGAACCAGGAAGTAAATATGAACAAACACTGTCTCGGATCTACTTTTGCTTGTTTTTGTCGATTTATTTTTCTTAATTGACCAACAATGGAAGCTTCTTCCTGCTCTCGAATATAAATAGTAGCATCTTCTTGGCATTCTTAATAAACGAAGAAATAGCCTGCTAGCTAACATATGGACAAACAAACCCTATTATTTTAGATTTGCTTGTTTGAAAAATAAAATGATTTCATTGTTGCGCTCTGCTGCTTAATGAAACCAAACCATGCGTGTGATTTGTTCACCGGGGTTCCTCTTGAGTCGTGAAGGGCGTCCTATCTTACTGCACTTCAACCGCTGCGAAATGTTAAATGCGATACTTCAATGTTGCTCCTTTTGTGATTGGATGTATTGCTTTAATGATTCAAACCATTGATTTTGCACAAGCAAGAGGCTAAAAAAAAACAATTCAACAAAGTAAAAGAAAGATGAAGTGCCTCGTTAGCATTAGCAACCCCCCACCCCCTCCTTTTACAAATAATGCTGTGATGCTTTTACAGGAAAGAGTGGCGAGAGCTTGAGTGAAATGTCAGCGGGGTGGAGGGGGGGGCCGTGCACCTTTTTAGCCAGCAACTTAGCGCCTGCCTGCACTTAGCCTAATTGCTCCATGCAGTGATCGCTTTAACGACGAGCATTGATCACAACGCGTTGTCCGATCTCGGCCTGTGTTGATTAACGTGTCAGATGGAAGTGGCTCGGGTTGGCTGTGACGTGAGCCGCCTACTGATAACTTGATGAAAGCATTCTCGAAGCGGTTAGGTTGGAGTGGTTAGGTTGATGAATATGGACCGGGGCCGAACAATTAATCAAATTCAAATCGACATTGCAGTGTAGTAGACTGCAATATTCAAATCGCAAAGGCTGCAGTTTGGGGAAATGGTGTGGGGGGGACTCTGCTTCACTTTGTTCAGTCGGTAGGTTTTATTTTTTAAATATTTTTGTAAATGTTATTGATTTATTTGTATGGCGTGTCTAAAGAGTAAATTTCCTAGACGACGTTTCACTCTAAACAGACTAGATTTGATCTCAGTCTAAGCAGAGTAAAATTTGAGGGTAAAACATTCCGAGTAAATTTTACACTGAAAAAAAAAAATTGGAGTGATATTTATTAGTGATTAAAAAGTTTTTTTTCACTCTGACATTTTAAGTAAATATTATGAGGAGGGTTTTTGAGTACATTTGACTTGCATGGTATTAGTTTATTGAAAAAAATAAAATTAAGAATTAAAAAATAATAATTAGCCACACAAAATTTGGTAGGCATGGCATGCCTATCACGAGTGGACCCACAAAAAAAAGTCCCACGTCGTCCTGCTTGAAAATGCACGGGAAGTCTTATTTGGGTGAACAGTTAATTTAGTTTGAATTATTTCATTCCCGTTCAAAACGGTGAACCAATAAGCTACGGTAAAGTGTTCTTGGAATACACTTAAATCAATTTATTATGAACATTTCTCTCCTTTAAATGCTGCGTTTTGCAGAATTTCTCCTCCAGTGCCTGTTTAAAGCCATTATCATCTCCTCAATGCCTTCTCAAGCTTCACACGGTTTGTTTCGGAACGCTCGGGGGCGAGCGCCCGCTTTGAGGCCCAAGCTTGTCAGGCGCCATCAGAGCGGGTGGATGGTGAGGGGACGGGTCTTGAGAGTCTCGGCGGGGGGGCCACTTAAGCCTGTTAGCCTCATACGATGACACAACGGGAGAGCCACACACGCGGTCAGGCGGGTTGGGAAAACACGACGATCTGCCGGGGCCTTTCGCCGCCAATGTCGGGACGGAACCTCGCGCGCGATGTTCGTCGCTCTGTTATTTCAACTTTGCGCCGCTTGTCATGCACTATTTAAGCTTCTACTCCAGGGTTTAAAAAAATGCAGCGTGGCTGCTGAATGACACGGATGTGTCATTGTAATAATTCATTGCAAATTTGAATAATTGAGGAAAATCCTTCAATAGAGGTCCACTGTAATGGCATGTCGGCACTCGGCTCCGTGATCTGTCCCTGTGGGTCAGCACGATGGGCAAGTGGTTAGTGGTGAGCGATTATTTTCATCCATTCATCTTCTAATTCGCTGATCATCGCGAGGGTCGCGGGTGTGCTGGAGCCTATCCCGGCTGTTTTTCGGGCAGTAGGCGGGGGACACCCTGAACCGGTTGCCAGCCAATCGCAGGGCGCACATAGACGAACAATCATTCGCGCTCACTCTCACACCAAGGGACAATTTAAATTGTTCTGTCAACCTGCCATGCATGTTTTTGGAATGTGGGAGAAAACCGGAGTACCCGGAGAAAACCCACACAGGAGAACACGCAAGCTCCACACAGGAAGGCCTGAGCCGGAATCAAACTCTGCACTGTGAGGTCGACATGCTAACTCGTTGACCACTGTGCCGCCACAATTATATACATTTCAAGAAAGTGAAAGGGCGGTCGGCCATTTTAGATTTGAAGCAGTCGACAGGAATCCTAAAGAGATGCTTTAGGATATATTTTGATTTTTCTGTTCTTTTTTTGTGCCAATACCAGCATCTTGATTTATTTATTTTTTCCCTTTGACTTTCCGTCGCTCTTTTCCTGTTCAACAAACTACTAAGACGTCAAGTGCCACGTCAGCTTCTCGCGCTAGCCGCCGACTGCTTGGCCGCCATATGCTTGTCACTCGTGATGAAAAGCTAGCGTCTGAGGTAGCGCCGTATCGCTTGTTCTAATGAAGGCGATGGTTCAGGAAGAGCGTGTTTGGATTTGTCATTAGCAGCCAGACGCTACTTGAAGTAATCGCTAAGGACAATTAATGACCCCCCCTCACCCCCAATGCCTTTGTGCTGCAGGTATTTACGCAGGCAAAAGTCCACCGCCAGCCTTAATTTATCAATTGCCGAGCGTGCGCCGTCTCGGCTGGTCCTCGGCCAATATTTCATGACGAAGGCAAACGCGCTGTAAATAAGATGCGATTAGAAATGCGCACGCACACCTTGGCGCAAATATGATTTATGTATCCGCTTGAGTCAAGAAATGCAAATGAGACGAGACGTGTTGCCCAGAGAAGCTTTTGCGCATTTATTCCTTCGCCGCAGACAAATGATTTAAGGCCCGCCGGAAAAGATAACCTAAAATGAAAACCTCGCTCGTAACTTGTTTATTACGGGTGATTTAATCTTATTTTTACCTTATGGGATTAATAACATTTATCTATCCATACGGATATCGAATCTGAGCCGCTTTTTATGTTCGTTTAGACAGCCACAACTAACACCAGGGGGAGCTAGAAAACAGAATGCAATTATAAAAAAAGTTTATACTTCATCCTTTTTTTTTTTTTTTACTTAAGCAAGAACATGTGTCAAGAATTCATAAATAAAACCTGAAATACAAATGTAGAACTGACATACCAAAATGGTGGGTGCGTAATTTCGGCTATCCGCGCCTGACAGGAGGAGAAACATTTCAAAGGGGCACGGCCGCTTTGGCGGTGGACCCGAGTGGCCTTAATTGCCCTCCGCTAATTAAAAGCCGCATTTTTTTTTTCACAGCATTTTTCACGGTCAAGTGGCGGCTCAGGTCAATGTAACGTTATGAGGATGATTTCTGCCGCCCCCCGACCCCCACCCCGCAAGGCAGTCCAAGCCGCTAAAGTTAGTTAAGTGATTTTGTTACTTGAGGTTTTGTTTATCGTGCATAGAGGAAGCAAAATCTACATCAATCGGGAGAAGTCAATGAGGTTGTAAATGATGCCCGCACTTAATGGAAGCATCTCTCATTTCATGGTGGCTACACCTCTTTTTTTTTTTTTCTTTTCTCTTCCCGTTCCCTCAGGCTTCTTCATTCTGTTGCCTGATAAGATTTTTGTCTCTTTATTGATTGGTTTATTTCACATATTGAACTCTTTGATGACCAGTGATGCTTCTTGCCCCCCGGAACCTGCAGTGGTGATTCTGTGAAGAGCAAATCTTAATTATGCGGCTTGAAAGTTGATTTTCCGCAGGCATTTAAAAAAAAAACAAAAAAAAACCCACCTAAAATGACCACTTGCTGGGAAATCATAAAAATTGATTTTGAAAGTTCTAGAGCATGAATTAAAAAAAAAAATCAGCATTTCTCAGGTCTACTTTGCAACATTTTCCCTTTTTTTTCCTTTCATCTTTTTGAAATAAAGCCGTATTCTCGCAGCCTACAACGATTCCCTCGGGTTAGATTTTGCCAGGAGGCACTTTTGTACTTTTTTTTTTTTCTTTTTCTCCCCTGCACAATCATCACGACCGGCCCGAGAGAAATACGACTTCATCCCGAAAGCTACCATCCTTCCTCCATACTCTTATTATTAAGTCTTCCTTTTTTAACACTTGCAGAAGTTTTGCCGGAAAACTGTCACTGCTGATATTCAGCCGGCTGCAGATCCTGGCGTTCCGACACTATAACAATTATTCCACCCTCGTTTTTTTTTTTTTTTTTTTTCCACGCTGTCAAAATGGAGCTGCTGAATACTTCTTATTGGCATGGTAGCCTATTTTTCCCCCAGAAAAACCCCAAGAGAGAACACTTGAGTCTGTGTTTTATTCGCGCGTGGGTGTAGAAATATAAGTGTTGGGGTGGGGGGTGGGGGGGTGGATTCTCCTTTTTGAGCGAGGAGTAAGATGTGCGCGCGCTGAGTGATGCTTTATTCAAGATCTTCTCAGGGTTGAATGTGGAATTTGCTCGTGATCCCGCAAAGCCTCAAGACGAGCAGAGGGAGCTCCCGCTTGCACTCTGGCGCAGCCCAAGTGTCACATTTACACCACCGTGTCTTGTTTTTACACCAAAATGTCGTTTTGGCGCCCCAATGACACGTTTCCGCGCCGTGACGTTGTAGTTTTGCCATCGTCATGCCATGTTTTGACATGGTGATGTGATACTGTGCTGTCGTGTTTTTTTTTACACCACAACGTCGAGTCTCAGATTCCAGGAGGAGCAGTGTGTTTTTTTTGTCGGAACAGTGGGCCAGGTCTACAGCCTTGTCAGGGTCCTCAAGGAGTTCTGTGGGGTGTGCTTGAGGAGTACTGCAACCCCCAGAGTAACCTCTGCAGTCGTACCTCTGCTCTTTCCATCCAGCTTAATATCTTTTACTCATTTTTACTTTGGTGTCCAGTCCCTGAGTGCTTTTCCGACTTCCGCAGCCGCACGCCTCCGGTTTGACCTTTTCCCGCCACCCAATTAGCCAACGCGGCACGCTAATGTTCTGGACATTTGCGCTCGCTTTATTGCTAGCTTCCGCCCGCCCTGGCGCCGTCATTGATCTGGTCTCCAGATTGCCGCGATTCTGCTTATTACGTCTCCAGAAAAAGCTTCTCCTTCATTGCGACAAAAAGAGGTTCCTCGTTTTCATCACGTAGAGGCCAACTCACAGCAGGATCGAGGGAGCAGCATTTGGTTTTGCCGTTGTTAACGTCGTCAAGTCACAGAGCTTTCTCGTTTCCGCAGGTGTGCGACGGGAATACGCCCCCGAATGTAATTTGTCTGTGATGAGCATCGCCGTCATCCAGCAGAGACTGAAGGTAAGACGCGCGAAAATGACGAATGCTAACTATGCTAAAGCTACATCCAGTGGCGATGATGTGTCGCCGTCCTCAAATGAAGGCGTTAGTTTTCTTGCATTTAGAATTTTTTTCTTGAATGTTCCTAAAGCACTCACAAACGTTAACATCTTCATACGTTGAAGGTTTTATGATTTATGATTGCGTGTGTGCCGTTCGAGTTGATGCTCTCGCTATTAGAAATTGCACCGTGCTTGGTTGTCTTCTCCGATGAATTGAAATAAAACCAAGTCCGTCCAAACCTCAAAAGGTTAGAAATGACTCGGCGGCGGCGGCAGCGTTGACAGACACAATCCGTTTCTTTTACAACAAGTAACGGTCATGATCGGCGCGGCGCGATCTGTTTACTCGGAGACTCGCGATGACGACGCGCAGCTGTCAGGCCTCATCATTCTCTGCGCTTACCCTCCTATAATGACGGATGACAATCCTCCTCCGTGCGGAAACGCGACTTTGCCCGGTTTGCGCGCGGAGACCGCCGCGTAAAGGCATGCTGCGGACCCGCTGCGGATGAAAGATTGCGGGGCACCATGGGAAGCGTGGCCTTCGTCCTTCCTGCTGAGTGGTGCAGTAAATTACAATTGGGGTTTGGGAGGCGGCTCGGTGGCACTGCGCAGCAAACTTTCGTTCTCAAGGGGCACGTGTATTTCTCCACGCCCGCACTGTGCACTTAATAAATGCCCCACACTCGGGCTTGGCGATACGACTGAGAAGTATATCTCGATATCAGTATTTCATATTGGTCGATATTCATATATATTGAATTTTTATTTTACGTTTTGTAACGATTGAAAAATAAGGAAACGTAGAAAAAAAGGCCACATTTATGTCATTTTATTGCAACGTAATACTTCACCTTTAATAAGAAGTCAATGCAACAATGAACTCGACTCATTACCGGTCATTTTTTTTTTTTTTTGCACATGGGTACGCCACACGAATCAAACATTTTATCAAAGACATTTGGTATCGATCACATATCTATCGCGAGATATATTGATTTTGAATTATTGCACAACCCTACCCCGATCTACATTGTGATTGAATAATATAAAAAGAGAGCTGAATTAAATGTTATTAATGTCAAATGATGCATCAATAATACCTAAATGCAACATTCATGTATTGTTGATGTGTAATAACTTTTTAGCTGCAATATGTGCTAATTAAATGACCCATACTACGCTGTTCTTGTATAACATGGGAGGCAGGCTGAATTTATGGTTATTAACGCATAATAATACATTAGTAATGCCTTGATGCATTATTAATGTGCAATGTGTAACTGCACTGCATTATACAGAAAGCTGCTTTTCAGTTTTTGTTGTTGTTGTTGTTTTTAGCTACTCTACACAGGGAGACTGAAATATTAGAAATCGCTGTTTATTAGGTCGCATTGGCCAACGTGGGGGTACGTCATATATTGCCTGACGAGTGAGCAAAAAAATTAAATAAATTACCCTCCCTGACCTGCTGACACAGCACAATGGATGATATGGCCGACGCAGGGGTTTTGGGGTGGTGGCAATGAGGTGACCCTTGAACTTGCTGTAAGATGTGCTATCATGATGAGGTGCTTGGAAGGTCAGGTTTTCCTCCCAAGGACCCCCCCCCCCAATCAATTATCTCCCCCCCCCCACTGGTGAAATTACGACGTAAGAAGCGATGGTGGTGGGTGTAGGGGGAGTTGCGTCCTTAAGCGTGGGATCGTAAGAGGCGGACACACGCTGGCGCACAGCGGGGGGGGCTCCCAACAACATATTCAAGCTAATAATGCGTGCAAATGGCCCCTTTTTTTTTTTTTTGCAGTGTGCGAGGCATCACGGATGATTTACGATGCTGCTTTAAGGCACAGGTGTCAAAGTCAAGGCCCGGGGGCCAGATCTGGCCCGCCACATCATTTTATGTGGCCCGCGAAAGCAAATCAAGCATGTCAACATCCATGATGCTTGCTCAAGTCTGAGCCAAAATTTCAAATTGTCTCATCTAACCCATGATCACTATTTGAACAAGCCATTATTCTTGACTTCTGACTTCAAAACAAGTTATCCATCAATCTGGTGGTGGCGGTGGTGAAACAATTGGTTTGACAACAGTCATCACGGGACGCCCCTGCTTTCAGGTATCCATCCTGTAGTTTGTGGTTAGCCGTCTCACAAGAGCAGCAGCATGCCATGCATCTGGCAGAGATTACGAAGCGCGTCCTCCTTAGTATGTCTGAGCCAAGTGAATTTATTCAGCTACTGCGGACGACAACCGCTGGCTCGGTGTTTTGAGGAAAATGTGAAAAAAAAATTAGGGAAAAAGCGACGTTACGCTTTGCCTCCTTGTCCCGTAGTGAACCCATGGGCTCCGCACTCTTTGATGAGGCTTGCGACTTTCCGACCAGATAAAAACCCACTTCTTATCAGTTACATCAATGTTTACTTTTTTGACAGCCTGTAATTACTTGGCTGCGCCGTTTCACTGGCATAACTTGCCACTCCTCATCCACCACGTCCCCTTGCAAAATATCGACTTGTCACTAAAAAGCAAGTTAAAAAAAAAGTAAGATCCTTTTTTTTTTTTTTTCTGTCTTGCTTTCAAACACGTATGTATGCAATCTAGCCTTGAGGCTAATGCTAGGGAAAGCCAGTGATGTTTTAGCGAAAGCAAACCAGGAGGTTAACCGGTGCAGGTCACGAAATGAAAGAGCACACAATTAGGCAGTGACGACTTTTTGAACCGATTCGAGTGGTACAGAAAACACACTAACGAGGTAAAATGAACACCAATCGCACTGCTAGCCTTCCCGCTTCAAGCCAAGCCTTAACCTCCCCGACGACATGGCAGACAAACAAACACCAATCGTGAGATTCAAAACGATCGTAGCGACGGCGTCGGTATTTAGCATTGAGCTTCAATCGGTGTAGTTATTTAATCTCTCCAATGTACTCTTGCGTCGAATGGCGCGCTTTCGCTTTTAATTGTAATTGGCTAAATGCTAAGTAGCTTATTGCCGAAAGTAAGCAAACATTTTTATGTTTGGAGTGTAGTGTGAAAACAATGGAAAACAACGCTTTGTCCGAGACTTCCCCCCCACAAAAGGCCGGTTTTAGTGTGTGTGTGGGGCTTTGAGCCAAATTCAAGCAGCACGGCTTAAATCAACAAGGCGACGTAACGCTTTTCGCATTCAAAACGGCTTTATTAGAAGAAAAGAGCCAGCTGGTCTTTGAACATCAGCGAGTCTTTCGAAAACCTTTTTTTTTTTCCCTTCTTTGTTGCAGTTTGTTTGAAACGCCCTACGTCGCGTTTTTTGTTTTTGTTTTTCCCGTGTCCAAGGTTCTCCTCAAAGTGAAAGAAATACTCTGATCCGAAGTTGTTGTTGTTGTAGTTGGTGTCGTTGAGAACGCCGAGTCCTCCCAAAATCATTTTCTCATCTCGTGTGTCTGGCACGTCAGCAGCAGTGTTATTTAAGGCTTTCGACTTGCTATCGATTTTCATACTGGGTGTCTTCATCCTCCCCCGCACCCCCCCAAAGGTTGTTGAGGGTCTTTCGGAGGTATTTATTTCCAGGCCCTTGGTTTTGAGCTGTCGCAGGTGATGTCATCGTGGTGGGTAATCATTTGTGTGACCTTGTTCTCTCCTTCTCCCGTTTTTAAAAGGAGAATCAGCGTTTGTGGTTCGATGTATCATGTCAAGACATTTTGTCAAGTGGCTCTGCTGTCATGATTGATAACGGTGACCTAATAAAGCCGGCCAATGACGGTGCACACACATTGCCAAGAAAGCGTCACGAGTTGCTTCCCGTCGTTCCCCAAAAATGTAACGACAATTGACATTTTTTTGAACTTCATTTATAATTCCCACGTTCCTGAAGAATTATCTACTAACATGAAATGATGAATGTTTCAAAATAGAACTTGCTGATGTGACGAGTAGAGAGCCCCAAAAGTGCGAAAAGCGGACATCAGCTGATCGTGGATAGGTTGAAATTTATATTCGCCAGCGCCGCCTTCCTGACACACGTTTGCAATCTTTCCTCGTGTTGGACGTTAATGGCTGCCTACACACACACACACACACACACACACACACACACACACACACACACACACACACACGCACGCGCACGCACACACACACACACACACACACACACACACACACACACACACACACACACACAGACAAACTACTTTTTGACTATAGGCAAGTTGAACAACAAGCATTTCAGAAAGAGTCCATGTAAATGGATTCGAACCAAAAAGTTCAACACAGGTGAAGTGTGCTTGGGCACTTATTCTTTGAAGCATCCCAGGAGTGACGCAAGCAGTTTGCAACAAATACGATTTGTTCCGAGCGGAAGGTTTCCCACCACTGCTGGACCCAAAGGCGTCTTCCGCAGCAACTCGTCGAAATTGCCCCAAGTCAAAATCTTAACGACGTGCACACGAACACAAATAATGAGGTTGGGAAGGGCGGGGGGGGGGGGAC